GCCCTCTGAGGAAAATTACCCTTCAATTTCATCATCTGTCAAATACCAATCTTGGATTGCTAGCACAAAACTTGATACAAAGGTGGCCACCGCCGTCACTTCCTTTCTTTCACCTTTTCTGGGTCAGCCTGAGGGTTGTCGAAGGTTCTGCCAGAGACTGTTGTCTCCCCAGCTTCCCTCATCCTTGCCCAAGATCGGGTGGCGGTCTCCGACCTCTCTCCAATCTGCCAGTTTTCATGGAAGCCCACTCCTCGCTCCCGTTTCGCTGGGAGAGCGGGAGACCCTTCTCGTCAGCCCAGGCCCTTCGGGGCCCCTGAGCGCCCTGCCCACCCCTCCTGCCCGCCCGGGCTCGGCCTCGGCTCCTGTGGGCCAGACAGACGGCGAGGCCGGGCCACCTACCTTCTCCTGGGCCCTGCTGAACTTCTTCTGCACCTGCTTGGCGAAGAGGCCGGCAGCGCCGCCCGCCTTGCCCTCTGCCATCGTACCGGCTCCCCGGGGGCCGCCGCCCTGGCCCAGCGCCCTGTGGTTTTCTGAGGCCCCCGAGGAGGAAGTGCGGGCTCCCAGCATGCCTCGCATCCGGCCCTGAGCCACTTTAGGCCGCCCCTGGCCAGCCCTGCGGCCCGCCCCGCGGCCCACCACGGTCAGCCGGGGTAGGCCGGCCCCGAGGGGCGGGGCGGCGCCTGCCCTCAGGCAGCGCTCGCTCGAGGCCAGCTTTCGAGCTCCAGCCCCTGCCAAAAACCTCGTCCTCACTGAACCAGATCCTCAGCAGTGGGCCCAGACTCGTTCGCTCCGGAAAGCCAGTTCCCATCACGCTGAGCACTGGAAAGTAACTGCAACCTCAGGGTAGAAAATGGTGTGGGTTCCACTCAGCGAGAGGACCTACCCTATCGAAAACACGTTTAGGTTCTGTGAGTATGCATGCGAGGCCGCCATGTAAAGTGCGTTTCTTGTTCCAGGTGGCGGTGTAGGCGCTAAGCCTGGAACTGGTAGGGATAGAGTGCAGAAAGCGGGCAGGACACCCGATCCTGGCTTGAAAGAGAGAAACAGGCCGGACGGACGCAGTGGTTCACGCATGTAATCCCAGCACTTTGGGAGGCCGAGGCGGGTGGATCACCTGAGGTCAGGAGACCAGCCTGACCAATACGGTGAAACCCCGTCTCTACGAAAAATACAAAAGTTAACTGGGCGTGGTGGCGCACGCCTGTAGTCCCAGCTACTCGAGAGGCTGATACAGGAGAATTGTTTGAACCCGGGAGGCGGAGGTTGCAGTGAGCCGAAATCGCGCCACTGCACTCCAGCCTGGGCGACAGAGCGACACTCCGTCTGAAAAAAAAAAGAAAGGGAGGAACAACTAAGCTGGAGATAGAAACAGGGTAGGGGGCTAGTTCTTAGGCAAGGGAATGATCGCATTGAAAAAAAAAGGCTGAGGAGGATAGTATGGACGCCCGTGCCGGGGATGAAGAGCAAGTTTTTCTAGTTGGAGTACAGTGTACTGGATGGATGCAGAATGTGAGAATGTGAACACAGACAGATTGTGCAAATTGGGGTGGGGCCGTTGAGATGACAACTATTGTTTCTCTAGGGAGAAGTTCTCCAAAAAATTCCTCCCTGACCTGTTTGAGGGGATAGCTGGAGATTAGGACACTAGGTGTGGAGGAACCACGCACTCAGATTTTACAGTGCAGGTAAAATTTCTTCAAGGAAGGGAAGAAGGTCAAAATAACACTTCCTAAAGAGTGGGGGGGAAGCTGGGGGCCTGACACAAAATTAAAGGCCCTTGTATGCTATTGTGTTCCTCTTCTTTCTCCGAAACAGTCATTACTGCACTCAAGATCAACTGTGTAGCAGGCATTGCTGGGTGTTCTGAAACCAAGGATGAATAAAATGCAATCCCTGACCTTAAGATGCTTAATCATGTCTGGCCAGGCACCATGTCTCCCACCTGTAATCCCAACACTTTAGGAGGCCAGGGCAGGCAGATTGCTTGAGTCCAGGAGTTTGAGACTAGCCTGGGCAACATAGCAATACCTTGTCTCTGCTAAAAATACAAAAATTAATTGGGCATGGTGGCACACACCTGTAGTCCCAGCTACCAGGGAGGCCGAGGTGGTAGGATCACCCGAACCAAGGGAGGTAGAGGCTGCGGTGAACCCTGATGGTGCCACTGCATTCCAGCCTGGGCAAAGTGTGAGACCCTTTCTCAGTAAATAAAAAATAAATATTAATAAATACAAATAAATACATAAATAAAGATGCTTAAAGTCTGGAGGTGGAGATAGGTGGGTAATCAGGTGATTATAATGTAATGTGCTTAATTCATTTGTAGAGATGGATACAAAATTTTCTGGCAATAGGTGATTAGGGTTTGTTTGTTTGTTTGGAGACAGGGTCTTGCTTTGTTGCCCAGGCTGGAGTGCAGCAGTGCCATCAGGGCTCACTGCAGCCTCTACCTCCCAGGCCCAAGTGATCCTCTCACCTCAGCCTTCCGAGTAGCTGGGACTAAGGTGCGTGCATGCCACCACTCCTGGCTACCCAGGCTGATCTGGAACTCTTGAGCTCAAGCAATCCACCCGCCTCAGCCTCCCAAAGTGCTGGGATTACAGGTATGAACCACCGTGCCCTGCCAGGCAATTAGGGTTTATTCTGGATATTAGCTTTGGTGATGCCCTGGAAGAGGCAGGGTGACAAAAATGGAAGGTCTTGATGTTGGATGGGGAGAAGTGGGGAGAAGCATGGAGAATAGCAGTACTGCGGGAACACTGAGGGGAGATGGCAATGCTAACAGTTGTGTCACTGGCAGAAGGAGGCCAATACCTGTGTCCCTGCCAGGACTATATGGCATCCTCAGCAATGCAACCTAGCCACTGTCTCCTAAGAAACTCTGTTTAGTGCCAATATCTTGCAAACTGAAATTGATGGTCTCCAAATTATGTAGTGTTAGAGAAGAAACAACCTTTAGAAGTTAATTAGATAGGGAAATTGAGTCACAGAAAGGGCTGATGACTTGCCCACAGTCACCCAGCTCCTCAGTGATGGAACTGTGATGGCAACAGACTCAGCCTCTTACAGCACACGGAGTGTTCTAGAGGCCTCTGCTGAGCCTGCCAATTCCAGGGTCTGTCTCAGCCAGTTTCTCCTTCTGTAATGTTTAATATCCTAGTCCCTTTTGTCTGGTCTTCAGTGATTGACATGAAAAACTGCTTCTCATCCTTTTTAGCCTTCCCCTTTCAGTTCCCCCTTTGCTTTCTCATAGGCCACTCTAACAGACTGAGCCCTGGCCAGGATACAGCAGAATTATCAGTTTCCCAGTTCTCTGTGGTTTATAGAACCCTGGATCCGGTTGCCTATTTTAGTCCCAGCCTTGAAGTGCTGATTCACACTTAGCTTGAGGCCCTATGTTGTTGTCGCCTCTTCCTTTCTGTTCTGCCTCTTCCCCTCAACCCTTTCCTTTCTTTGTTTAGTATTTTCTCTTCTGTCCTTTTTTCTATTCTTAGCTCTCCAGTCTCCTTTTTTTTTTTTTGAGACAGAATCTCACTCTGTTGCCCAGGCCGGAATGCAGTGGCGCAATCTTGGCTCACTGCAGCCTCCACCTTCCAGGCCCAAGCAATTTTCTCCAGTCTCCTTTCTAATTTGTCACTTTCTTAGTCTGCTGGTATCTGCCCTGCCTCCTAATCTTACACTTTTATCTCTGGTGTATCCTAGTAGTTGCCATCACCCAGAAACTTGGAGTGGGCACTCGTTTTAGGCACTAAAGGGGGAAACAAAAGAAGGATGAACCCACGGTCTACCTGGGAAAGTTAGGGCACATTCAGTCACTCAGGAACTTTTTTTGTTTGTTTATTTTGAGACAGAATCTTGCTTTGTTGCCCAGGCTAGAGTGCAGTGGCATGACCTCGGCTCACTGCAACCTCCGCCTCCTGGATTCAAGTTTTCCTGCCTCAGCCTCTTGAGTAGCTGGGATTACTACGCCCAGTGGAGTACCTGCCACTACGCCCAGCTAATTTTTGTATTTTTAGTAGAGACAGGGATTCACCATCTTGGCCAGGCTGGTCTCGAACTCCTGACCTCGTGATCCACCCACCTTGGCCTCCCAAAGTGCTGGGATTACAGGCGTGAGCCACTGCAACCGGCCCACTCGGGAACTTTTTTTTTTTTGAGATGGTCTTTCGCTCTTGTTGCCCAGACTGGAGTGCAATGGTGCAATCTTGGCTCAGTGCAACCTCCACCTCCCGGGTGGAGGCACCCACCACTACACCCAGCTAATTTTTGTATTTTTTTTAGTAGAGACGCCCACCACCACACCCAGCTAATTTTTGTATTTTTTTAGTAGAGACGGGGTTTCACTATGTTGGCCAGACTGGTCACAAACTCCTGACCTCGGGTGATCCACCCACCTCAGCCTCCCAAAGTGCTGGGATTACAGGCGTGAGCCACCGCATCCAGCCCACTCGGGAACTTTTTAAAGCACTCTGTGCCTTCAAATATAGTAAATATCCACAGGAATAGGGCAGATGGACAGATTAGTGGATAGGTAGATCCTAAAGTAACCCAAAATGTATAACATAAAACTACTCTCACTGGGTTTGTGTTGTGGACTGGTAGAGGTAGCAGCAAAGGGAAGACCCTGCCCACAGATGTGGTGAAATCCAACTTGGATCCTATAACTGCATTTCTTCTAAATCAGTGGTCCCCAACTTTTTTGGCACCAGGGACCAGTTTCATGGAAGATAATTTTCCACGAACCAGGGTGGGGGATGGTTTCGAGATCATTCAAGGGCATTGTATTTATTGTATACATTGTAATATATAGTGAACTAATTTACAACTCACTATAATGTAGACTCAGTGGGAGCCCTGAGCTTGTTTTCCTACAACTAGACGGTCCTATCTGGAGGTGATGGGAGACAGTGACTGATCATCAGGCATAGGGACCCCTGCTCTGGAGGGCTTAATTACAAATAGACACAGTATGATAATGTATATCCAGTTTTATTTCCTTTTCTATCAATGGCTCAATAGTCTTTTAGAATGTTTTTTACTTGATGATCGCAAGTTCTGTTGCAGATCTAAGAACCATTTTGGGAAGGTCATTGGACTCAGGAAAATGTTCAGTTGGAGGCAATGGTCTGAAGGAAAGACAGTTATGTCCACGGTCAGTAACTCCTGCCTACCTCCTTTCTTATTTCCTCAGGGCTCCAAGTTAAGTATGGTTTTGTACTGGGTTTATGGGAAGTTGACAGGGTGTGGAGGACAGGGCGGCAGGAAGTCAGCCTCAACTGTGATAGGACAGCTCAGTGTTATAGGTACATACCCAGAACACAGTGGCAAAGACAGACCTTAAAATGGCCGTGAGCCAAGATTAATACACAAGGCTCCAGAATATGTTTGAAGGGTGGAGGGCACAGTGAAATGTGTTGTGTGGCCTTTCTACCAGGTCAGTGTAGGCAGAGCCTCACCTAACTCTCAAGCATTATTTAAGGTGGTAAAACCTTTCAAAAATTAGAGTAGGCTTGGCGCTGTGACTCATGCCTGTAATCCCAGCACTTTGGGTGGCAGGTGGATCACCTGAGGTCAGGAGTTCAAGATCAGCCTGACCTACATGGTGAAACCCGATCTCTACTAAAAATACAGAAAAAATTTAGCCGGGTGTGGTGGTACATGCCTATAATCCCAACTACTTGGGAGGCTGAGGCAAGAGAATCACTTGAACCCAGGAGGCAGAGGCTGCAGTGAGCTGAGATCAAGCCACTGCACTCCAGCCTGGGTGACAGAGTGAGACTCCGTCTCAAAAAAAAGTTAGAGCAAATTATCCTAATGTCCTTAGAAAGACCTTGTGGGAGAGGAAGTCGGTGCCTCCTTCCCTTGCCTAGGAGTACGCAGGCCTTTCAGAACCTGTTTTTCCCTGGGCTTCGACTTAGGAAGGCACTGATATGTGCCTGGTTCAGATTTGATGTTGCCGCTGTCTTACCCTAAGCAATAAATAATACAGTGAAGTCTGCTCTGTGCGTATGTGGAGGGGAGGGAATTCAGGATGGCAGCATTATTGAGGGAAAGTATGCTATGGAAGGAAGGGAAGGGAGTAAACACATGAATGTAGTAAGGAAGGTGACGGCTTGCCCAGTCCATCCAACTTTTGTTCCCCAACCCAGCCAGTGTGTGGGTCTCCAGGTGACCCCATTTCAACCCATCATTTGAGAGGACTCACTTTATTTATCCAGGAAATGTAAGCAGAGACCCGGGTGAAGACTGTAGGCTTCCTGGAGACATTACAACCCTGCTTGGACACAAAGCTGGTCACTCCGTGGACAGAATACTTGCCATTCACCAAGCAATGGAGGGGACCCCCAGAATCACCCTGCAGGGAGGAGAAACAGAGTCCTAACACTCCAGATCTTTGGGCGTTTGCTTGCACTCCCCCCGCCCCGTGTCTCTGGTTGTGAAATTCTGTACAGTTTTAAAGCTCCAATGCAAATCTCCACTTCCTTCATGTCCCCACAATCAAAATGAATCTCTTCTTCCTTTCTAAACAACCACAATACTTCTTCTCTTTTGCTGCACTTCTTTCATGTTCTGCCTTGTATTTTGGTTTCATAATTTGTTTCTGCCTCCCACACATGTCTATGAGCTTCCTGAGACAAAAACTCTTACCAAGATCTTTCCTCTCCACAATGCTAGCATAGAACTTTAAACATCTAAAGTTCAATTGCTTTTATTGGCTTAAATTGAACTTAGGGTGGCAAAAATAGGGCATTCTAATAATTTCTTTATCCCCAGCATTTACACCAATGGGTATAATTAGACCAAGTATTTAGACTTGGTAGTCAACAGATGCTAAACTAAACTGGAATGAAGAGGAAAGTGATATATTGGGTTACGTGCTCAATTGGGAACCTGGGTTTATGGACTATGTTCTTGCCTCCCTCTTACTCAGCTTCCAGAATGCCAGATCCATAATGCCATATATAAAATGGGAAGATACTTCTCTGGAAAAACTGAACAGCCCGCCGGGCGCGGTGGCTCATGCCTGTAATCCCAGCACTTTGGGAGGCTGAGGCAAGTGGATCACGAGGTCAGGAGATTGAGACCATCCTGAATAACACGGTGAAACCCTGTCTCTACTAAAAATAAAAAATAAAAAAAATTAGCTGGGCGTGATGGTGGGCGCCTATAGTCCCAGCTACTCAGGAAGCTGAGACAGAAGAATGGCATGAACCTGGGAGGTGGAGCTTGTAGTGAGCCAAGATCACACCACTGCACTCCAGGCTGGGCGACAGAGTGAGACTCTTGTCTCAAAAAACAAAACAAAACAAAACAAAACTGAACAGCCCAAGAGGAAAGACCTAAAGATACTGACATTGGAGGTCCTCCACTAAAGTGGCCCAGCCAGATTGCCTGACAGAGAATCCACTATTGATGAACCCTATCTAAGGCTCAGAGCTACCAATCAGCCCACCCATTCTGGATAAAAATACCACCCCCACTCTGAAAAAAGCAGATGGTTAAGGATCCCTAAACATCTAAAGAATGCCTCTAATATAAAAATAAAGATTGAAACAAAGAAACAAGGAGCTAAATAAAAAATGAAGGCAACCAAGACTATGTAGGGAGAAGAAAATAAGCAATAAAACCATGACTAATAGGCCAGGCACGATGGCTTACACCTGTAATCCCAGCACTTTGGGAGGCTGAGGCAGGCAGATCACCTGAGGTCAGGAGTTCAAGACCAGCCTGGCCAACATAGTGAAACCCCATCTTTACTAAAAATACAAAAATTGGCCGGGCATGGTGGCACATGTCTGTAATCCCAGCTACTCAGGAGGCTGAGGCAGGAGAATCACTTGAACCCAGGAGCTGGAGATTGCAATGAGCTGAGACTGTATCACTGCACTCCAGCCTGGGCGACAGAGCAAGCCTCCATCTCACAAAAAAAAAAAAGAAAAAAAAAACCACGACTAATATGCATCCATGATATAAGAACGGCATACTACCAAACAGAACATTCAGACAGCAAAAAGAGCCTTTGGAAATTATAACTTTGATAGATTTAGAAATGATAGACTAGAAGAGTTGGAATATAAGTAGAATAAACAAGATATAGAGAAAATAAGAGGACCAGCTTAGGAGGTAAACATGTGAATAACAGAAATTCTAGAAAGAGAAAAGAAAATAGAGTGGGAGGAAATCAACAAATAAACAACATTTTCTGGATCAAAGGTCTGGAGTTTCCAGGAAAACCCACCCATTAAGTGTCCCTCACAATGAATGCAAATAGATCCACATAGACCACTAGGTCAAGAGAAGATGATACAGGTCACTTAACAAATTAGTGGAGAGTGTGTGGGGTTGAATTAATGAAAACTTGACTATATTAAGCAAATAAAAAAGATAATTATTAACAGGGAAAATTGAAAAGTTGTGCAGCGAGGACTGACCATGGTGGTTTAGGACTGTAATCCCAGCACTTTGGGAGACTGAGGCAGGAGGACTGCTTAAGCTAAAGCCAGGAGTTTGAGACAAGCCTGGGCTACAAAGTGAGACCCCCATCTCTATAAAAAAATTTTTTTAAATCAGCTGAGTGTGGTGGCATGTGCCTGTCTTCCTGGCTACTCAGGAGACTGAGGTGGGAGGATTTCTTGAGCCCAGAAATTCAAGGCTGCAGTGAGCTGTGATTGTGCTACTACTACACTCCAGCCTGGGAGACAGAGTAAGATCCTGTCTCAAAAAAAAAAAAAAAAAAAGTTATGCAGCAAATGAAAAGTAAACCTAGAATATATCACATGATTTTGTTGCAAATAGTATTTGGTCTAATCATAGTAAATACCAAATGTTGATCTAACCAAAATATTTTGAGAGGTTGAGGTGGTGATCAGAAAATGTCATGCTTGGAGGGCAGGTATATGTATATAAAAAATAAAGAGAATCACATCTGCCATAATGTCTCAACTGAAAAATAGCAGTGTAAGTATGTAATTTTAAAGATATAGATGTAGACACCAAAAGAATCAGCTGAAGAGTTGAAAGTGGCCTCCTGTGGGGTGGGAGAACTAGAGTAGCTATTCTTTTCTGTTATTGAGCTCCATAATCTTATTTGTCAACTTAAGCTACAATAAAAAGTAAAACTTGGGGCCAGGTGTGGTGGCTTACACCTGTAATCCCAGCATTTTGGAGGCCGAGGTGGGCGGATCACGTGAGGCCAGGAGTTTGAGACCAGCCTGGCCAACATAGCGAAACCCCGACTCTACTAAAAATACAAAAAGAATTAGCCAGGTATGGTGGCACATGCCTATCATCCCAGCTTCTGAGGAGGCTGAGGCACAAGAACCCAGGAGGAGGAGGTTGCAGTGAGCTGAGATCACCCCACTGTACTCCAGCCTGGGCGACAGAACAAGACTCTGTCTCAAAAACAAACAAAAGTAAAACTTAAAAAAAACTAGGGAAAGAGACCAAAATTTCAAATTGGGATAATTCTGTGTGTGTGTTTGTTTTGTTTTGAGACGGGAGTCTCGCTCTGTCACCCAGGCTGGAGTGCAGTAGTGCCATTTCGGCTCACTGCAACCACCACCTCCCGGGTTCAAGTGATTCTCCTGCCTCACCCTCCAGAGTAGCTGGGACTACAGATGTGCGGCCCCATGCCCCATTAATTTTTTTTTTTTTTTGAGATGGAGTTTCGCTCTTGTTGCCCAGGCTGGAGTGTAATAGCACAATCTCAGCTCACCGCAACCTCCACCTCCCAGGTTCAAGCAATTCTCCTGCCTCACCCTCCAGAGTAGCTGGGACTACAGATGTGCGGCCCCATGCCCCATTAATTTTTTTTTTTTGAGGAGGGCGGGGGGGGGGGGGGGGGGGGGGGGGGAGTTCGCTCTTGCTGCCCAGGCTGGAGGGTAACAGACCACAATCTCAGCTCACTCCCCAGACCCGCAACCCCATCCACCTCCAGGTCTCTAAGCAATTTCTCCGCCTACATCGGGCCAACCAGCTGCTCCAGCCTCCCCCAACGTCGCGGGATTACAGCGGCATAAGCCACCACCACCACGCATAAGTTTGTACTTTTTAGTAAGAATGGGGTTTCCCATTGGCTCAGCAACTGGTCCTTGACTCCTGACCTTCCACGGCGTGATCACCCACTCGTGCCTCCTTCAACATGCGGATCACCAGCACATGCGAGGCAACTGAGCGCCCCGCGAGTTCTTTCTTGTTTTTTTTTTTTTACAAAAGAGAACAGAGTCCTAACTGCCCAGGCTCGGAGCGCAGCCAGTGGCGGATGACATACGCTCACCGCAGTCTCAATCTCGGCTCAAACAATCCTCCCACTTCAGTATCCCAAGTAGCTGGGACCACAGTGTGCGCCACCTTGCCTGGCTAATTTTTTAAATTTTTGCAGAGGCAGGGTCTCCCTATGTTGCTGAGGCTAATCTCTAACTCCTGAGTTTAAGTGATCCTCCCACCTCAGCCTCCCAAAGTGCTGGGATTATAGGCATGAGCCACCGTGCCCAGCCAGGGGTAATTATTTTAAAGTGGAACTACCTGTACTCCACCCTAACTGCTATTTAGGAAAGGATGTTTTCTTTAGATTATTGTACTCAAAACAAAACAGTCTCTTCCACCTAAATTCTATTAGGGATTTGAGAGTATTTCAGGGGCTAGAGGAATGATAGATAAATGAATTGCATATAATACTATTGTCTTGTACTAATTGATCTGAAAAGAGACCAAGCCTCTGGAGAGCTGGAGGGTGGGGCTGAGGATTTTAGAGCAGAAGGAACAGTTGGAAGAGAACTCAGTGGGGATAGGCTGATTGAAATAGGAGATTCTAAGTGAATCCACTCTGAGGAGAAGGGTTGCAGACCCAGAACTCTGAAAGCCAAGAAGACACAGTATTTGAGAAACTCCAGTGGGGAGGGACCTGGGGACACAATTGCCTCCGAGAATTGTCAATTTGGAGTGGCAGCCAGAAGAAAAATACTCGTTTTTTAGAGCTCAGGGCTTATGGGAGAGCACAGCCATGTGTATTCACTCAGAAAGGTTAAACCTTAGGAGGTTATAGGTGAAGCTGGCTGATGAGGGCCTAGAAGAGGTTGCATTATGCATTAGTCTCTCTATTTTTCCCCTTATTCCCAGGTAGAGTCCCTGGGATACAGGACTTTTAAATGTTAATACCAGGAAAGTCTAGGGCAAACTAGGATGAATTGGCTAGTTTATTTCCATGGTTCTTTGCACTCATACACCCAAAAAACTTTTTAATCTTTTTTTTTTTTTGAGACGGAGTCTTGCTTTGTCACCCAGGCTGGAGTGCAGTGGCGCGATCTCGGATGACTGTAAGCTCCGCCTCCCGGGTTCACACCATTCTCCTTCCTC